TGCCTCTCGCAATCAGGTGAAAATAAGCCATGTTGGCGTCCCCCTCTGCCAAATGCCGCACCCGTGAACGTTGCCTGGCCATTGTTCTCTCCAGGGATGATAGGCCCAGGCACCGCACCTTCATCCGTTTCCTAAGCGAGGCTTCCGCGTCGGACAGTGGTCGCACGTCTTGCGCCATGTCGAGGCGGTGGATGAGCTCGCGTGCCATGAGGAGCTGGTCTTTGATCCCTCCAATCTTAGTCGCAGCCCATCGCTGCAGTTCCTTGACCAGCCCGTGTAGCAAGTCGTCCAGCCGGAGAATCGGGCCACGGGAGGCGGCATGACCGCGCCAGGCCTCCGTGATGACCTGCTCGTAGTCTGGGAACTTGGGCCAGAAGATCTCGAAGTGGAACCTAGATTTCGACATGCTCCCCAGGTTGGAGAGTAGAAGCAGTGGGCAGTGATCCGACGCATCAGAGCCCAAGCAACGCAGGTGGGAATTGGGGAAAAGCACGTCCCATTCGATGGATACCAACACTCGTTCTAGCCTGACCAAAGTGGGGTTCTCCCGTTCGTTGCTCCAAGTGAAGCACCGTCCATGAAGGTGCAAGTCTTGCAGCTCCAGGTCCTCCACCGTGCGCCGGAAGCGGGACAGGTTGGCTCTGTTGATTCTTGCATTGTTCTTGTCCGCCTCGTTTAGGATCAAATTGAAGTCTCCACAAACGGCCCATGGTCCTGAACAACTGTCCCTGATAGCTTGGAGCTCTTCCAGGAATAGTACCTTGTCTCTGTCTTCCTGTGGCTCGTATACAGAGGATAGCCACCAGCAGGAGTCGAGCTCACCCGCCTGTGCCTACGATCGCACCCTAACAGTGACGGAATAGCAACCCAGAAGCACGTCTGAACGGGTTACATCAGATTGTCGTGCGGCCACTAGTATGCCCCCCCTCGTATTGGACGCAGGCAAGTAAGCGAATTCGGTGAAATTCATGCCGAGCATGGCGAACACCAGGTACTCAGAGATTACATTCAGTTTAGTTTCCTGCAAGCACACGATGCTGGGACGGACGTCGTCGACCAGCGTGCGGACATTATCTCGGCGGGCTCTTTCATTCAACCCGCGCACATTCCATGACATGAGTGTTGTATTGTCCATTGGAGTGGACTCCGGTCGGGGCAGCCGCGCTTAAGCGACCACCAGTGCCGCGCGGCGAGGTGCTCTACCAGCTTTGCAGTTAGCAGCTGGGAACAGCTCATCGAGGGCTGCGATTTGCGTCTCCGTCAGGTTGCCGGTGAAGATCGCCTCGAAGGCTCTCTTGGACGCCGGCGTGACCGGGACAGGCGGTGGAGGTACACCCATCCGCTGCATCAGCGATACTTCTCCCCGTTTGGACGCGGGAATGTGCGAAAGCTTCTGAGCCACGATTCTGGCGCTCCTTGTCTGAATGGGCTACCGTCGGACGGGGGGCTTCTGCCTTGGCGGATTGGAGAGCAGCGGAGAGTGGCGCACAAGCTGCACCTCTTCGGTGAAGCGCGCCAATCGCCTGTCCGCCTCAGTTTTCGTCGGCGTGGTGTTGGTGTCGACCTGGGGAAGCACCGGAGGTTCCGGCGGGGTACTTCGCGAAGCTGTGTACCCTGGCTAGCCACATAGCAGCCGCGCCTCAAGGATCCGAGGCTGGCTGAACTCCTGTGGCCGCATCGGGATGCTTCCAGGAATCAAGTTCGAAATGTAGCGGACCCCACGGCTCAGAGAAGGCCGGTGCAGGTGTTTGAACGGGTTGGTCCTGCTTTGGCAGGTGAGGTGCCTTCAGAACACACTTTGGCTTTTGCTTTTCCGGCGGGATCGGCGCGGTTGTTGCCGTTGCTTTCGTACTGACGTCACGGCGACTGAAACGAGGCGCAGAGGAGGTGCAGCACCCCCGCACCGGCCGCCTCACCGTCGACGGCCCCGCGGACGCACCGGAACCCCTGTACTCGGCGCCCGGAGCGGCGACAGAAGTGGTGGCGGTCCGGGTTCCCGTCGTGGCCACTGTCACCGTCATCGGAGTCCGGCAGGGATGGCGATGGCGATGGCCGATGGGTCACTGGGGTCGAAGCCCACCATGCTCCGAATGTGAACGATGACACGGTAGCACAGGACTTCCTTTTGCGTGGGGTACGGCGGCAGGTTCCCGAACTGGAACGCCTGCACGTTCTCGGCGACGAGGAGCTTGACGACCTTTGGAATTCTGCTCGGGTCGCACGTCCAGGCGGAGAGACGGAAGGTGGATAAGTCGGACTTCCCTGCCGACGCCGGGTCGACGGACTAGATCCAGCACGAGGGGCCAGTATCTTGGCAGCGGTGTCCTCGCTCCAGACGTGCGCCGGGACTCTTCGAGCTCGATGTTGACCTTGAACTTCAGCGCCATCGCGTTCGCCTGGGCGAGGCGCGTCCACGGCCGCAGGACGAGGAAAGTACCCGCGGCCAGTACCGCCGACGCACCAAGGATACGGTCGCGAGTCTCCCGTGAACGACAGTGGATGATGAAGTTGTAGGGGAAGAAGGGGACGATGGAGAACTCCTCCTCAACCCCGTGGATGTTGGTGATGGCGCGGACGGCATCGGATGAGAGGACTTCCCTGGAAGCGTCGGCGACCATCGCTGCCAGGGAATATCGCAGGGCCTCCTCTGCTTCGTCGATGGAGGCGCCGCGCTGGATGAAGCACCAGCCATCCACCGGCCTCGTCTCGGGATGACCCGGCGGTAGCGGATCGCGCTCGTCGCTTGTGTAGCTAGGGTCCGCCGCCGGAGGAGGAGAGCTGGGCGGTGTCGAACCAGCCGCCTCTGACCCCATCGGCGTGTCTGGAGTCCCTGAGGCGGCCGGTGTCGAGCCGGATGCATCTGACCCCATCGGCGTGTCTTGGCTTCCCGGCCCGGAGCTTGCGCGCACGATGCGCCGGCGGCCGTCGTTCGCGGCACCCTCGCCGCCTGCGCCCGGAGAGCGCCTGCGGCTCTAGCGTGCTACCTCGCCACCTGCGACTGGAGAGGCCGTTGCAGTTGAGGCACCGCAGGGGTCGGCGGCAGATCGCGATGCGGTGGTTGTAGGAGAGGCAATTGAGGCAGCGGTCGCACAGCGCCTCTCGAATCCCACGGTGGTGGGTCGCCTTGGCGGTGGAGGTGTGGGTCTGGTGCGCCGTAGGTTCCTGCCGAGGCAGCACCTCCCTCTAGCCGTCTGCGTCAGGTGGCGAAATCTGCCGCCTTGAGCGAGGCAGCGGTCGCTCCCCCACCCGCTGGTGCGCGGGGACGCGCTTGTCTGCGCCGCGGCATGTTGCCGTGCTCCCGCCCAGCCGCTGGTGAACCGGCCGCCGTCCACACGTTCCCCCAGGCGTTGGTGTGCGGGCACCCGTGCGCCAGCGCCGTCGCCGCGGCTCCGCGTGCTACCTCCTAGCCGTGGTCAACCTGGGTAGATGCGCGACGTTTCCTCCGACGCCGACGTCTCTTGCACCCGGTGCGAGCCTTCGCGACACGCTCACCCGTGGTCTCCGCCGGCGGCTCGACCGCGGTCCGAGGGGCGTCCTCAGGAACCGGGGAACCCTGACGGACGACATCCGCGAAGGAAGGTAGGGGGGTGGTGTTGTAGTCCGAGTCAGAGAGGTCGGACTCCTCCGACCAGCGCATGGCCTTCGACCTCCCCGGAGAGCCGGCGGGGACAAAGGGCTCCAGCGGTGGGGGGGTGCCTGCAGAGGCCGAGGGGACAGGGGTGGTGGTGGATCTGGCCTGCTTGGCGGCGAGGCCGAGGGAGAGGGAGCTTAGGGGTGGCAGCGGGTGTGGCGGCCGTGCACTGGTTGGGGAGCTGGGGGGGGGGCCGGGCTGGGGCTGGGGGCTGGGGCTGGGGAAGGGAGGGAGGGGGAGGGGAGGGAGACATAGCCATCTCCAAAAAAAAAAAAAACTTGACAAGCATTTAAACCTGATTGACCACAAAGAATGTTATTCTCATTTTTCGAAAGTTAAGCATTTTTAACTTTGATCAAATATATATAAGAGAATATTAATATTTATGGTGCATAGTTAGTATCATTAGATGAATCGCTGAATATATTTTCATACTAAATTTATTTGAAGATGCAAATGTTGCTGGTTTTTCTATAAACTTAGTCAAACTTGAGAAAGTTTCACTAACACGAACCTCATAGCGATACTCTTTTTAGAGAGCAAACTTATCCTTAGTTATGCAATGCAACATGGTGAGAATCAGTATATCCATGATAGAGAGATAATCGTGAAGGCGACACAGGGTAGTGCAATGTGTTCCCTCTTTTCCCATACACAAAATTAAAATGGTGTTGACTACGAGGACTATGCGTGCACTCGAATCGGCAGTCATATCATCAGCATCACAGCACAATGGACGCTTTAATCATGTCGTTTTCACCCACTTCCAAAAAAATGGTGCGACCTTTGTTGGCATCCATTTTGTAATACTCCTAGAAGGAACTGTTCATTATGCAACCATATATGTAGTGTCCAACAGCAACATTTCACTAATGACGTGGCAGTCCAAGTAAATTAAGCAATTTAGTGGTAATCACAGTCATGGAACAGCACTGTCCCTGCATTGGTTGGCACAAAAGTAGACATGCCAATTGATAATTTTATCTGTTTATTATGTGAGTGACCACTAGCGGATATTGAGTTTTTTCTCTCTCAAATACGCAGGGGAGCTACGTATCATTATATTAAGAAGAGTATTGAGTTAATGACAACAACGATGAGTTTTGGCAAATATTATTGTTTTTTCTTGCATTGCTCCTCCATAATAAGCTGGGGTTACATTACATATGTAATGCATACTTACTACTTCGCGTCCGAATTAGCAGCAAGAAAATCTGCTCGACAGAGATCAAATTTGCCAAATCACAAAAAAAAAAGGCCAGCGGCCGGCCGGCCCTCTCATCACAGTAGTCACAGCTAACAAATTAATTAACCGCGAGTTAATTAATTCATCACTCCTCATCAGTACTAAATTACTAATGATGATGAATCAGTTTCCGGTCTTGAATGGCGCGGCGGCCTTGAGGTTGTGCACGATGTCCTGCACGGAGCCGATGCTGGCGGCGATGGAGATGAGGAGGCAGACGAAGCTCATGGCCTGCAGCAACCACCACCGGAGCTCGCCGCGGTGGATCTTGAGCCTGGCCATGTGCATGTTGACGGGGAAGTAGACGGAGAGCGGCCAGAACCCGAGCGCGCCGATGAGCCCCAGCACGGCATTGAAGAAGGGCAGCAGCATCGCCACCAGCGTAGTGAACATGATGACGATGGTGCGCAGCACCAGCTTGAGCGGCGCCACGGCCACTGTCGCCGGCGGCGAGGAAGTCGACGACCGGAGGAGGAGGCACGGCGGCACGCGGACGTAGTAGGTGGCGTTGATGAACTTGGCGTCAGGCCATCGGCAGGCGACGCAGGACTCGAGCCGCGCGAAGATGGGCTGCGCGAACACCTGGTAGGCGCCGATGAGGTGCACGATGACGCAGACGTTGGCGACGTCGACGAGCCAGAACGGCTCGTAGAAGGCGAACCCGGTCAGAATATTTCCCGGCGCGTCGTCGCCGAACGCGGCGTAGCCCGTGCACCCGAGCGCGAGGTAGAAGACGGTGGTCATGCCGAGGCCGTAGAAGGAGGCCTTCTTCATGGTCTTGTTCTCCGCCGGCGGCGCCCGCAGCGTATCCTGGATCTCGATGAGCACGTCGGCGAACGTGTAGGAGAAGGCGATGTTCCCCAGCGCCAGCAGCACGTTGAAGGCTTTCTCCCGGGGAACGTCGACGGCGGCGCCCGCCAGCGTGCCGCGGACGTCGCTCCCGCCGTCGTGGGACGCCCACTTGGCGGCGCACAGGCCCAGGCTGATGAAGGAGTAGCCGAAGGAGGTGGCGACGGCGACCACGGACAGCCACGCGATGTTGTGGAGGCTGGGGAGCTGCGAGAGCAGCAGCTGGAAGAGGCCGAAGACGACCATGTACGTGCTCCCCGATGGGTTGCACCCCGCCGCGCCGTAGCCGTCTCGGTGGAAGCAGTTGACGCGCTTCACCGCGCTGCAGTACAAAACATACATACATCATGGTTATTTTTTTAATTTACAGCAACTGTACGTGGAATTTTTTTTTTGACACCATGGCAGCTGGAGTGTAGGTACTTGCGAGAGTGCACGAGAGACGTGTCACAGTCACGCCGGATACGTGCGTGCAGGGGCCGGGTTCACTTCACTCATGCGTGCCGCATCGGCAAACAACACACTGGGTGGAGTGGAGATTGGGGTGGGTGGTTGCAACGGATTCTGGGATGCCGCCCTGGTTTCAGGCGCAGAAAAGGTGGTGAAAGCCACGTATCCGGCCACCTTTCCGATGTCCCCATGTTTCGGCGGTTTCTTGCTTGCGTCCGGCAAAGCGCAGGTGAGTACGAGCGCAGCATGGACAAGCAAGCTAGGTAGCTACGACACAAACGGCTACTACTCAGGGAAAGGGGCATCACGTCACGTCACACACCACTGAGCATAACCTTGTTGACGTGGGAGCAGAAGTACAGAGATGATGAACGACACTCAGCAGTAGCTCATTTCCTCAAAATAAAACACTCTGTAGCTAGCGGCGAAAATGAACTGAGACTTACATCATGCTGGCGCTGGCGGTGATGGTGTAGCCGACGAGAGTGCCCCACAGGTTCACGTACTGCGCGCACCCGCACAGCACCACGTTCTTCCGGTCTTCATCGTCGTCGTCGTCGTCGTCCATGGATCGATTGAAAGGTCAGATCAGACGATCGAACAAATCCCCACAGCTAGCTATAGCATGTTCTTGTATTTGTATATATATAAATATGGAGATGCATGATAGATCGATGATGAAGATTTCTGTGCATGCGTACCGAGGTAGCATCGGACGGCGTCGATGTACTCGCGGTTGACGGCGCCGTCGACGGGGTCCGGGTAGCGGTAGCAGTCGGCGAGCAGCGCCGAGGTGTAGTAGGTGACGCAGGAGAAGCCCACGAGGACGAGGGGGCCCACCACCCACCCCAGCTGCGCCACCGTCCACGCCAGCGCCAGCACGCCGGAGCCCACCACCGCCGCCACGATGTGCGACGTCGCCGTCCACACCGTCCCTGTACATACGTGCACGCGGCGCGAACAGCAGGATTACTATATGTTGAATCGTATCGTGTCACCAAGAATCCCCTGGACCATGTGTGTGTGTGTGTGTGTGTATATATATAAAACGAACTGCAGCTTTCTATCAGAGCATCATATGGCTTGAATGTACCATGCATGCATCATGATTCATCATCATGCATGAACAACATACATACCTTGCCTCTCATGATCGTCGCCGGCTTCAGCATCGTACACTACCGTTCTCCTGTCGGCCATTCTCTCTCTCTCTCTCTCTAACTAACGACCTCTCGCTCTTCTCAGCTGGGATTCTGACTCCTCTAGCTCTCCCCTCGCTGCAACGAGCCACCAGACATATGCTATATATATAGGCCACGCACTACAGCAGGCAGATAGAGAAGTCGAACCTTTGCTGATGGCCATGACCATGAGTAGTCCACCTGTTTTTTTTTTCTATTTCTCTGCTTTCACGAAACTGTAGTGAAAATAGAAAGATAAAAAGCAGCTACTAGTAGTGAATCAATGATATTCAGTAAAGGTAAAATTATTTGGGCTGCAGTCTCCATCCATGGCCATGGGTCATCGGCTTTACTTTGCTGATGATCAGGATTATTATTGGCTCAATTATGAGCGAGCAAGTCGTGTCTCGGCTGCGCTGGAGAGCATGCAACTTTGTCATGCATATCTTTCCACACACCATCGGCCTGCTCGAAAGAGCTATAGCTGCAGCAGCGCTGCGGCTGTTGTTGCTGCACTCCCCTCCTACATGGTTCAAACAGCAACGAAAACTAGCAGCAGCAGCGCTGTGGCTGTAATAGTAGCTCTTGGGGATGACGGAGCATTATATTTGTCGTTTCTTGCTCTCTCTGAGACAGAACGTAACTCCTGAACCCAACGTGTGAGGAAGCATATATATATATATATATATATATATATATATATATAACTGCTATCCTATAGCTGGCTACAAAATAACTTATTCTGTAGCCACTTTGAGTTACGATAATTACTATGTTAATTTACGAGATTATAGTAATTCCTTACTAAGTGGTTTACTATAACGTTATGATAAATATCCTCATGTGTTATAGTAACCCAACTATCGTAAATATGTATTGAAATTATCGTAAATGGAGGTGGCTACAGAATAACTTATTTTGTAGCTGGCTACTGAATATACTCTATATATATATATATATATATATATATATATATATATATATATATATATATATATATATATATATATATATATATATATATGGTGAATTTTATATACTTTCGGGAGTAGTTACTCCCATAATCAATAAATCACGTTGCGTATGTGTACATACTCATTTATTCGTTTGAATATGTTGCCATACTAAAATTAAGATACTCCATATCTTTACTATCTAATTTTTTTTTCAAAAGAGCACATATTTTTTAATATATTATATAATACTATGATAGTAGCATATCAAATAAGTATAACCATATACTCTAAGTATACATACATACTTATTATACATAGTACCCTAGAAGGTCTAGTATGATAATATACTCCATCTACATACACTTTGTCGGGCCATATACGTCCTAAATCTAGAGATATACACATGGGAGTAACTACTCCCTGGGAGTAGGATATATATATATATATATATATATATATATATATATATATATATATATATATATATATATATATATATATATATATATATATATATATATATATGCTCAAGTTTTTGTGGAACCGTTTCTAACTGCAAGCGCTTTGGAAGTTCCTTATTATGGTTTCCATTATTCCTTAGTTGCGTGCTTTCCTACTTGCTACTATTTTGGAAACTGAGGCATACACATATGCTAGGCGTCAGCAATTTCACATACTTTTTTTTTGAATTAGACAAATGAGTTGCTCATATAAAAAATCAGAATATGGCTACACGTGTTTGGCAGCGTGGCCACATTTTGACCATGTGCGAATTTTTCATCGAAATAAATTAAAGTTTACCTTTAGGGGCGGTTTGGATCCTTTTATTTGGAGGAGGAATTGAAATTTACTTAATAAATTAGGCTATTTGATTTGAAATTTGGCGTTTCACAACTTTTCAAAGTTCACATATAAACATATCTCAAATTTATTGGGTGGAAGATGGAATTTGATTGTATAAATCATCATTCTATGTTTCTACTTTACAACTTATAACACGCTCTTCTACTTGCTCCCCTACAGTAGAAATACAACACACATAAGTATCTCTTTCATATAGCCAACAATAATATACAAATAAGATCTATATACAACCATATTAACTTAATTAATATGTGTCCAAATTATGATTATTAAAATGAATTCAATTACAATGATCTAAACGGGGCCATATGTTTTTTTAGATAATGGAAATCCCTTTATGTTTTTTTATATAAAGGAATCTTTTATTATGTACTAATCATCACTGTCTGTATTCTAATGTATATAATCCTTATTAAACCGTTCACAGGAAAGAGAAGTAAAATGGATCTTGCAATTTGTGCGTGCAGCTTCAAGTTTTTTTGATTTTTTGGTTAAGGATCAGAGGTACATACAGAAAATGTCCATGCACAAAAATTTTTTACGGACAAAATTAAAGGATCACATACGTACTTAAATAAACAAGATAAATTTATCCCCATTGTGCTGCCTTTTAGAAAGGGGTTCCTTTTCTTTGGGTTGTGGTCGTGTGGATCCCATTGCAAAACAACGCGTAGGTATACTGCCTATTCGGTTAGCTAGGAGCCAATCTGGAGCAACAGGAGAGCTTCAGTGGAAGCTTGTAAAACAAGCTCCCTTTTCTCAGAAAGGTGTAAAATAAACTCAGTGTGAAAATGAGAGATTTATTCATTAGCAAAGCAAGCATATTAGAAGCGTATAAAACAGGAAATGTCTTGTATGTTTTACTTATTTATTTTCAAATAAATTTAGTTTTTAAAGACTTTTCGATCTTACTTTGCTAAGACTTCACTAGTTTAGAGAGCACACACTTGTTTTTTACTTATGGTTTGAACGTTTGAGTACTTAAACACTTGCTTTCTTAATAAGCAAAGGTTACTGAAGATAAAGTGTAAGGCCTATAGTTTGGTGTTTGAGATTTGACACGTACAGAGATATGCACACATAAATGCGAGTGTGTGTTAAGTTATACGTGGCCATGTATATGTAGAACGCGCATCAGCCATTTTCTCACCAAACAAGCAACGGACTGAGCAACTAGCGCGAAAGCTTCTCGATTAATTTTTTCTTTATTCTTATATCACTATTGCAGAGAGCATTTTCAGATACATGACGAAGCTTAAAAATGCTGTCGACACATAATTTCGTCCCGTACCAAGGACACGCAGCAAGCTGGAAGGGTCCGCTCGATGGAGCCGATCCGCCTAGCTTTAGTGTAGGGATGGTCGATCCTGCGCAATCCTCCCGAGGCGTGCCAGTCAATTTGACCCTGCAATTGATAATGAGAGAAAGTTTATTAGTAATTAAGGGCGGAACTTGCCGATGTTACCAGACAGTCTCGAATGTACGGCTATGAGAGCCGATATGAAAGGAAATCGGCTAAATAGCCGATTCCAGTATATTCATGAGAATGAGTCAGTTAGAGCTCATGGGGACGTATAAGAAGAATCGGTTGTCATTCAGGATAAATATCATTTAAACAAATATTAATCAATGGTAATAAGATATCAATGATGATCGATTCATACTGAGCCAATGATTACGAGTAACCGAACTCCTTTTCATATAAAGAAACAATTCAATATCACGTATCCATTTAATAAAGATAAATCTAATGAACATGTTACATCTCATCTATCACCATGACCAGTGGGGCATGAGGCAGAATCATACAGGCCGTAGAAACAACAATAGACTCGACAATCCTAACTCATTACTAATATCAGTGGGGCATGAGGCAGAATCATGCAAGCCGTAATACAATAATAAGATCATAGGGCTAACATATCTTTCAACTTATCTCTACTTCAACGGTCTCGTGATGTGAATTGCTCGTGAAAGCGCTTGATATCGGCTAAACAGCCGTTTCAGGCATAGCGCACAGTTAAGGTCATGCCTTCTCCAGAACGGATCTACCAACTAACGATCCCCACTCCACGGTGCTAACAGTGGGGTGAGAGGTAGAATCCCACAGGCCATGATAACGGGCCATGAAATGGTTCTCGCTAACCGATAGATCTACTCAAGATCGAACATGCCTTAATCGCACGCTATGCACGATTAAGATTGATATAAAACAGCCAATGAAAAACATAGCTTATCGTTTAAAGTGTAGATCAGATCAGTTTTGGATTAGCAAACGATGAGTCAAATAAGATATAAGGCTGATCTAAATCAATCTCAATCGGGTAGAGTAATATTGTTGTAATTAGATAAGCAATGAAAGTAATAAGCAATATCGGTAACTTAATGAATCTACCAAAGATTGCCACTCTAAGATAGAGCCGATAACTTGACCTTGATCCAATTCAAGCAGTGGGGTGTGAGGCAGAATCACACATGCCATACTTGAATTAGGCAAGAGTCGATAACTAGCTTATACCAGAGCCGCAGTGGGGGTCAACCGGATCAATGCAGCCATACGAACAGAGGTATAAACCATGACGATACTTACAACAAGCAGTGGACGTCGACCGGATCGATGCAGCCATACTTGCCGAAGAACTCGCCGAGATCTACTCTACTCCTACTCCTAAGGGGTGGTCGGAGCCGAAAAAAGTAATTGACTTGTATTTGATTGATTATGTCTTTTTTTACAATAGCCGGGGTTTGATATTTATACCCAAAGTCTAAACATGAATCCTACTCGAGCACGATTTGTTACAATCTTTGGTATGAAAGAAATATTCCTATCTTAAGATAACTTGGACTCTAATCTTTCCCCTTTTGTAGAGTCCGATATGTATCTTTTTGATGCCAATCATATCCCATCATCGTTATCTGCTGACGTCATTCGGAAAGAATCGATCCAGTGTCACATTCGATCCAGCAGACATCAACCTTTACTCCATCGTCTCCTTGATTGGCATAATTCTAGAAGCCTACGAGTTCCCACGCACTTCTCCCAAATTTTGGTGTAAGCACATGCCCTCCAATTTTGGGATAAAATGATTTTATCCCGAAATTCCAGTTCACTGGTTTACCACGCCGCAATTGCACTATCCGAGACATACGCGTAACTCCTGACTCTCCGGCTCGAGTTCTATATAACATCCCAATAGTA